CAAATAATATTCAGACACATTTTTATTTCCACAAATGATATTCGTTTATCCATCAAGAGAATATTTCCTTCCAATTGTTCGTAAAACTTTCGTAAAACTTTCTCGTCTGCATACAAATTTTTCCATCCGAGGGTGGATGGAAGTCCGATCCGAGCCTGTTTCACAGGAAAAATAAAAATGCTAAATTGGATAATAAGGATCGGTAGGATCCAAAGAATTACCAATTTAAATGAGAGGAAAAGTTTAAAAATTCCACGTGTAAAAATAAGAGAGCGGGTGTTGTATCTTGAGAAAGAGGGTCAAGGCAAGATGGAGGGGAGAAATTCTTTCGTGGAGGTGACCACGAGATCGATTTTAACACAAGCCTCTTCATCTTCGATAAAAATTACTCCCATCACGGAAGAAACTTCGTTCCCAACCACGCTTGTTAAACATACCTAGCACGAGCCCGATGAAAAATTGCATGCGATCACCGTATATAACGATGACTGCATTAGGCAAGACATATAGGAATCGTACATCACATCCACCTTATATCTTACAAAGAAAACCAACTATCAAATTTGCACGAAATTTATCACTCTTACTCTTATTGAAATTGGAAGTTAATTATTTACAAAAAGATACTATTCTCCATCTTGATGATTTTTTCAAGCGTTCTCAAGATCGTTATTCTGAAATAAATCGTGTCTTCGAATCAGTTTAAGTTAGGTTAGGTCATCATCGTTGCCAGATTAAGAAAACTAGACTAAATGCCTGAAAGCATTAAACAATTAAATGAATTTTTATTTAATTTCTGGTTTCATGATTAGGTTAAATTGATAATTATTTTAATAAGTAGATTCAGAAGATTTATTTGATATAATTTTTTTCTAAATATTTACCTAAAATTGTCTCGAGAGAGAAAGATGGCCGTCCACCGAAATCGGTCTCAGCCGTTCAGTTCGTAAGAAGCCCGTGTTCCACGCTGAAAATAACTTTTTGCCATTCGAGCAACCTCCCCTCGGTTCTCATGAGCACGCATATGGCGAACCGTTGTTGGAACGTTAATAACCAAAGGAACACACGTGTACGCGTATCCCAGTACACGTAGCTCTCTCTCTTTTTCTATCCTTTGTTTTTCGACGGTGTTAGATCCCGTTAGCGACTTTGTATGCCATATGAAAATCTCGCGCGAGCCTTCGCGCAGCTCATCGTTATGCATTTCTTCGTGCCACAGGGAGGACAATGCCATCTTGGAATGCGCGATCCGCTGCCTTCGATTCGACTCCTATTTATCAAATCCCTCCGCGGTTGGCATCGATATTTTCTTCTTGACCGACGTCACTTCCTTTTCAACTTTAGAGATAGCGATTAGAATTCTTATGAAATTCGAAAGAGGATTTATGATTTTTTAATTTACTACTTTCAAAAATTATCAAAATATATTGATCAGATAATCCTCTTCAATACGAATTTCATAGAAATTCTAATCGCTAATCAAAATTGAAAAGAAAGTGATGTCGGTCAAAAAGAAAACATCGATACCAATATATATATATATATATGCGATAAAATGATCAAAATAAATTGTGAATCTTGTGCGTATAAAAGTATATATCTTACAAAAGATGGAAAGGATAATGAGTAAAAGTACGATATTTAATCGTATTTAACATCACCTTTCGATTTCTCGGCGTGAATTCATTGAAATACGAGACGCGCTAATGGCAACCGAGTTAACATAGGAGTATGTCGCATATCGATCGTGCGATTAGAGCGAACTTCAAACGTGTTTAAACGGTTTAAACCTACGATCGATTTCGAAAGGGTTGTTAGCCTTATTTGACACGTCAATTGCCGGAGAAATGTTAAGAGATTGTATCGAAGAATCAACGTTCCAGGTCTGTACGTGCTTTACTTCATTAACTAGAACTTTGGAAGTTTATATTTCATTTTGTGGCAGTATAATATAAACGATCGATTCTTATGGAAATAATCCGTAAGAAAGTTTCTAGAATTTAAATATATTTAATTATCTATATTTAATATTTTCGTGAGATAAACGTTAATTTTTATTAACCTACAGCGCAAGGTGTTACGTATGTACAGGAAATTCCAAAAGTAAATGACTCATCTATTATTGCTATCTTTATGACCAATTAAACGAACGTGCAGATAAATTTTCTATTTTTACTATACATTTCGGTTAAACGAAATTTCTTGCTCTCCGACAATTTTCTTGGACTACTAAAAAAAAAAAAAAAAAAGATAACGACCTAGACCGGCTAGAAGGTGAACGAATATTTTATGGCGAAGGAAAATTGTTTTCGCAGCTGTATCGCGAGCGAAAACAAATCTCGATTACTCGGGGCATAGTACGCGTTCCAACGTAAACGAGTCACTAAATTTGGACATCCTGTAAGGATAGACTTCCGTTCTCCGAACCTGCCGCTCGTAATTCACCAAGATAAATATTATAATAAATGTTTCTACGAATTTTCTCCTCCGTTCACTCACGTTCATACACCCTCTCCCTTATTCTAGAAGGGTTGTGAGAATTTTTTTTCTTCTCATATTAACGTTATGGAAATAAACAAGTCAAAATATATCTTGAAAGGTGACTGAACGAATCGAGGGGAAAAAATAAAATTATGATCAGAGAGGGAGGTGAGAATTTTTTTTTCAATATTATAGAAATAAACAAATCAAAAAATATGTTGAAAAAATGTGGCTGAGGGAATCAATTACGAGTATAAAGTTTTGTTTACATTTGGAATTTAGACACAGGTTTAATTTCCATTCTTAAATTCGATTTAAAAGATATCAGTGCCGGATGAATTTTGAACACGGAAATAGCGAAATTATATTTTATTTTTCCAATTATTATTATAAAAATATTTTAATCGCAATAATAGATATTATTGTATCCATAATTCCAAAATTAATAATTCGTAATCGAATTAACCTTCGTTCGGTGGTATGAAGAATCGAAGGCAACGAACGATCGATTCGTCCTTATTTAATGGTCGTTCGGATCGCGAGTACCACGCGCTTCCCACGCGCGATTTTCTTCTTCTCCCTTTCTCGTTCGGCCTTGGAATCGTGGCGGCAGCTACTGTGGTGCTCCGTCCTGTCCCCAGCTACGCCCCCGCGTTTCCACCAGGAAAATTGATCGATCATTTTCCACGCGTCCAGCACGCAAGCCCCGTGACATTGGAAAACGCTTTTAAACGGTTATTCTCCCGACGTGGTTTTCGATGGACGCGCACCGGCTATTTCATTCGGCCTCGATTACTTCCCTCGCATCGTTCGATAATCATGCGTTATGTCCTCCGTTCAAAGCGCTCTATGTATGTTTTCGTATATACATATTTTAGAAATTATCGTGGATTTATTTTTTTTTTTTTTTAATCTTATTTTATTAGTACTCTTTTTATTAATATCTACCATCATGTGTCGTGTTCTTCATTCACAAAACGCTCCATATACGTTTTGTATATGTTTTAAAAATTATCATAGATTTATTTTTTTTTATATATCACATTGTTTATTTACAAAAAACTTTATATATATTTTTTATATATTTTAAAAATTAAATATATATTTTTTCTATATATGTTTTAAAAATTATCATAAATATATGTATATATATTTTTTAAATCTTAATTAATATTTTTCTTAATTAGTATCGACAATTATGTATTATGTTCTTCATTCACAAAACTCTGTATATATTTTTGTATATATTTTAGAAATTATCGTAAATTTATTTCTTTTTTGTCATATTCTCCATTTACAAAGAACTCCATATATATTTGTATATATTTTAGAAATTAAATATATATTTTTTTTGTGTCATGTTTTCCATTCAAAATACTTCATATATGTTTGTATTTGTTTTAAAAATTATCGTAGATTTATGTATTTATTTGAATCTTATTCTGTTAATATTTTTTTTTTAATTTTCTATTTTATTTTATTATTTCTTTTATTATTTTTTTTTTATATTTTTTTAGCATCGATTATCATGTCATATTCTTCTTATTTATGTGCAAAATATACCTTGGAATATTTGGAAATTAAAGATCTAAATTTTTTGAAATCTTTTATTAATATTTTCCATATTTTATTAATATCGTTAAATCCTTCATTCACATGTATAAAATTAACTCTATAAAAATTATCGTAGATCTACTTTTTTGAATCTTATTTTGATTGATTTTTTATCGTAAATTTATTATGTTTTATTATTGTGTTTTATTGATATTCTTCTCTAGAAAATTTTAATTATGGAAAATCAATTTCAAGTTTATTGATACGCTCTCCTTGTAACATTATTCAATATTCATATTTAAAAATTGTACAAAAATTGTACTTTTTTAAATCTTATTTAGTATTGGAAATATTTAATTTCTTTAAAATCTTTAAAAATTTTTTATTTCTTCTTTTTTTACAATATTCTGTTAGTAAAGATTTCCCCTCTTGATCATAGTAGTTAATCGTGAGAGAGGAATCTCATCGAAGCGCAACGATTACGTTGCTCGAAACGGTCGATGCGAATTGCGTAATATGCAAGTCATAACCAGGATAGAGAGGTTCTCACATTTAATACACGAGATATAACCTTTATTAAAATATTTCGTATACAAGTATCCCTTAAAAAAATTAACAAACTTTCAATTTTAAACAATAATTCATTAATTTTTAATAACTTTATATTTATCTTTCTTCAGAGATAAAGGAAAAATTTTGGAAGAATCGATACGTTTCCAATACGAAACCAAATACAAAAAAAAAAAAAAAAAACAATTATAAAGTAACGAAAAATTCTACGAAATATTTTTTCATGTACTAAAGACAAAAACGCTGAATATAAAATGTTCATGACACGACTATACATGTCAATCGTTATAGAATAAGAGATCCCTATGACGCACACGTTGCGTCACCAATCTCGAGCAAACAATTATTCGCATATTATTTATCAATTAAAAAAAAAAAAATTTTTTGATTTTCAGCCGCCGGAGAACGAGTTGCAGAAAGTCGGCGAACGTGTGCCAAGCGAGCACGAGCTCAGAGTGCAAAGGTCTCTGCAACGACTGAACGTCCCAGATTGGTACAAGAATTCTCCCGCTGCTCGCGATGGTTTCCGGTTAAAGAGGCACTCAGATGCGTCTCAGCACGGAGGATGGCGTGCTCTTGGCTCGAAAACCACTTCCCTCTCGTCCCTTTCATCGTCTTCCAATAGACAGCCGACTACAGGTAAGACACTATTGCGTCTTGTCTCGTTTCTATCTTCAGTTCGTTTTTCGTTTCTTTTTTTTTTTTTTTTTTAACATCTTTCAATTTTGTTGCTTTTCATCGAAGCGAAGGTATTAAAACTAAAACTATTTTATCGGATCGCAAGAGCGCTTGAAACGCGATACCGAATCGAAGGTGAAAGGAAATATGGGATAAAAGACAATGAAGAAGAATGATCGAATGACAATTCGATTCGATAGCGTGTCGATCTTACTTTGAAAAGTAAAAAAAAAAAAGAATCACTGAGAATTTTTCGCTCAGAATTCGTTCATTTTTGTTCGAATAATTTTGCTGTCACGATAGAATTACGATGATCAAGGAAGTAAAACATGTTTTATGAATTTATATTTTATACGAATGCTCGAATACGGATTATTATATAGCTTTTATAATCATATATCAATGAAGACAATAATATCGCTTTGTACCGTCATCTTTTGAATATTTATTTGAATATTATTCAGAAATGAACGTAAGATTTATAAAGATATTACTATCTGCGAAAGCTTTTTCTCCCGCGGAAGAGTTTAATGGCTCTTACTTTGAAATTTCATTACATTGACTCGACCAAGGATACTCTTGAAAGACGAAATACAAATACTTCGCGATTCTTCTTTACTATTTATTTCGCTTTGGAAAGTGGAGGGGGACAGTAATTACCCTCTCTCTTACCTCTCTGAACAACGACCTCTCGTCGCTCTCTATGTAACTACTTACTACAATTCGTTTCAATATTGATCGTGAATCAACTCGTAACTAACTAAACGCGTGTAACGGAGGAGAAAAAGTTTCGTGGAAAGTAGACAGGCAAACGTCGATATGAAATCCTTCGAAACGAGCGGTAAAAGAGGAACGATTCGCAATGAAACGGCGCAATATCAAGCAAACGGCTCTCTTCCCTCCTTTGAAAAGGCGAGCAACGTCCGAAATTAGCCGTGTAGCGAGAGGCCAATTTCATTCCCCCTCTCCACCTCTCTTTTTTCCCCCTCCTTTCCTCTCTTGTCCAAGCAGAAGCGTGGTTGGTAGTAGTAGTAGGCTCTCGCGGATATTCTCTCTCTGGCCGCCACCGCGTCGAGTGACTGCTAATAGGAAGCGGCTAATAAATTTAGCGAGCCAAGTTAACTCGATTAATTCAATTCTCTGACGAATACGGTAGTACGGTCGTCGTCCGTTAACGACAGTGGCGCTTTTTCTCTCGCAGCCACGTTGTTGTCGGCGTACTGCAACACAAGGTTTACCCTTTTTCAGGATGGCTGGAAAATGTTCAAGGACGCTTCTCTAACGAGAGAACGCGATTTGTCAAGGGAGGGCACTAATTACCAGATTTTAAAGGGCTGTTGCCAACACGCTGCCGCGGTTTTCGTCGTTCGAGGGTGGGGAAGATGTCTGAAAAAGGCAAAGTTCGCGAGACACCCCATTTTTAAATGGTGTCTGATGCCGAATTCGCGATGCTTTCAGATCTTTTGATTTTAACAGATGCAAGAAAGCTTTTTTTTTTTTTTTTTTAAGGAAAAGTAAATATAAGCGATTTTTTATCACGCGACGTGGCTGCGATCATACACTTCAGCGACAAAAATAAAACTATTATTCGTAAATTTCGTTATATTTTTTTTTTAGTTGATCTTTATGCAAATCTATATCTATATTTGAAAAAAAACTTGTTGCTTATCGATGAATGGATCGTTATTTTTAAATAAATTCGCAAATTTGAGTAGTTTGTTCCTTAATTTTTATCAATTAATGTATGTTTTCTCGGTTAGGAAATAAAAATAGATATATGATCGCAATGTTATCGAAAAAAGTCGTTCATGTGGATCTTAAATATAATTTTATGTATGAAAAGTTGAAAATCATAATGGATCAAGTCATTTTTGAAAAGTTTATATTTAAAAATTGATATTTAAGAAAAAAAATAACTTAATACCAAGTTAAAAATAATACAAAAATATAACATAGTTACATTTTGTATCGATTGAACCTATATCACTTTCTCTACTATGTTTCCTCCATGCATAAGAATTTACATAAACAAAAACGTAGAGACAAGTTTAACATATTCGAGAATTTAGTTGATCAGATGCTTGGAATGAATAGAAATTAACGTGGATATAATTACTAAGGGATTACAAATCCAGGCGAAATAGGTAGTTTCAAGTTTAAAGACGGTGATACCGTGTCTTGGACTCATTTTACAGGCGGATTTGTTACTTGATACGGATTTGAGATGGATTACTCTGGAAAGACTTTGATCGACGGTTTTGCAAGTCGAATAATACGTTGCCCGGGAACTTTTCAATGGAAATAAAAGCTTGACAGCTGTCTCGCGTTGACATTTCATACATGTTGGTGTAGTTAGCATTTGGTAGTTAGCATTCCAACTTCGTGCCCCGTTGGGAAGGAAACACGTTTCGCGTGTTCTTATGGTTTTACTACTTTTTAGCGTTAATCTTATGCTTTTGTTCTCGGTGTCAATTATAGTATTGGAGAGACTTAAGAAAAAATTACGTGCGACTGGTTCATGAGTATTGTAATACCGTTGAGTAAGAATCGTGTTCCATTGGATGAATGCAGTCTCCCATATCGGTATAAAAGAGTAATGATAGCGTTTGGCAATTCTGCCCGGTCATTGGATATTGCATAATTCCTCTGCAAATAAGAATACACCTTGACTTCATTGAGGATAAGTGCGCGCGAAATTTAATAAAATTTAAAAATTCGTAAATTCCAATTCAGAGTTGAATATCGATACGATTCGATTGCACGATTGAAATTGAAACGTTGAATGCCTTTTTTTAATAAGCTTAAAGAAAGCGCGCGAAATTTAAAAAACTCAAATTTAAAAATTTATAAATTGCAATATGATTAAATGGATATCGATACGATATTAATTATATAATTAATATCGAAATATTTAACTTGTTTAGATGCCCTTCTAACGTCAAGTCACTTGTATTCTATAAAGTTAAAGCGCGCGATTTAAAAAATTCAAATTTAAAAAATTCAAATTTAAAAATTCAGAATTGCAATTTATAGTTATACATTATCCAAATCCCACGCCATCTGTATTCTATAAACTTAAAGCGCGCGAAATTTAAAAAAATTCAAATTTAAAAAGTTGCAGATTAATATTGTATTAATATTGAAATGTTGAATTTAGATATCTTTCTAATATTAAATTTCGCGCCACCTTTATTCTATAAGTCTAAAGCGCGCGAAATTCAAATTTAAAAATTCGGAATTGGAATTTATATATTGAATTAATATTGAATTAATATTGAATTAATATTGAATTAATATTGAATATTGAATTAATATTGAAAAAAATTGAGAATTGAGAATTTATAGTTACAGATTATCGACAAATAATTAATATTGAAACGATGAATTTGTTTAGGTGCCCTTCTAAGTCCAAGTCTCATGCCATCTGTATTCTATAAACTTAAAGCGCGCGAAATTTAAAAAATTCAAATTTAAAAAGTTGCAGATTAATATTAAAATATTGAATTTATTTAAATATCTTTCTAATGTTTCGCGTCATCTATATTCTATAATCTTAAAGCGCGCGAAATTCAAATTTAAAAATTCAGAATTGGAATTTACAAATTAATATTACAGATAATATGAATTAATATTGAAAAAAATTCAGAATTGCAATTTATAGTTATAGATTATTGATACGCAATTAATATTGAAACGATGAATTTGTTTAGGTGCCCTTCTAAGTCCAAGTCCCACGCCACCTGTATTCTCAAGATGGAGTACCAGTCTGCTGAACAGCGCCGGAAGTTCGCCAGCGAGTTCAGCGAGGTCGTCGTTCAACCATCGACAGCCATACTTGGGCTGGCGTTCCCAGGAACGACTAACGAACCCGCGAACACCGGCAGAACGTCTTGCTCAGGGTATTCTTCCCCAGTTGCAAGCAGCCAACAAGGTTTGTATTCATATTTGCCAGCACTTGGATTTTTCTTCAATTATCGTCCAATTGTCACTTCAACTTATTTCAAAAGTTGTCATTATACTGTGGAAACAATTCAACGTTATTTATTAATTAGATTTCCTCGTTCGAAAATTTAACCTTGAAGATTTTTAATCGATCTTCACCTTTATCTTTATCCTCGCTTTCCTCTTTGTCCAATTTATTTTTAATTTGCTCAGACATCACGCAAATGCAACGACTTCTCTATAATTAGAAATTCTGGCAGAAATTCTACTTCTGGTGTCTCGTGGCCTTTATAACCTGAGACAAATTGACCGTTATCCGAATCTATATAGTTGAATCCCACTATCCAAGTATTGTCCTAGTTTGAAAGAAATTTTAATCAGTTTCTCGTTACTGAAAAATAGTTCCACCTTGAAAGTATCTTTCCTCATAGCCGTTAATTGGAATTTTGCTAACGATGTACACGTTTTGTATTTTTATTAAAACTTTGTAACGAGGGCTTTAATATCTCATGTTATTTTTATTCATTGAACATTCAATTTCAAGAATTAAAAAAAAAAAAAAAAGAAATTCGTTTTTGAAATTTTAACAATATATCACCGTTCTCAAATGATAATTTATTTAATCGATTAATGAATTAGTTGAATTAAATTTTACATTAACTTTGAGTTTGCAGCGGAAAGAGGACGACAGAGCAGTAAATATTGGTAACAATCGTTAATTCAGAGATCTCGGTCAAAAGAATTTCATAATTGGTGACTATGAACGAAATATTGATCATTTGACATTATTTTTCAAGCATCGTATCAATAATCAATATGCTTGAAAAGTAATTAATTTGTCACGTTGAACCATAATTTTATATATACTTATCGATATCAAATCCTTCGTACATTTAATTGTTATTAACTAATTATTATATCTATTTAACATATTTATATTTATATTTTTTATACCTCGATTAACATAATACAATTTTTTTATAGAATCGTTCAATTAAGAGAGTCAAGCTTGACCTTGATCTTGATACACGTAACAAAGGTCATCCTTCTAATTAACTATCAGAAGATTATTTTAACCATCGTTCATTCCTTCCTAGAAAGTTATTGAAAAAAAAGTGCTTCATCGATATTACGTGATTTTTAAAACTGTACAGATCAAAATTTTTCTCCGCAGCAGCAACAACAACAGCAGCAACAGCAGACAACGAATCAGCAGCTAGAGGTAAGGAACTCGATAAAGGAGGTAACCTCGGCCATTGTGCACTACGTGCAAAGCGGTCAGGAGGTTGGTGGAGGTGGCAGGCTGTCGCCTCGACCTCGACCTGAAGACTGGGACGACAGGGGCGGAGCAAGGTCGACCAGCCCCAGAGGTGAGCACTAAACAACCCCTGCCAAAAAAAAAACCATCCTACCACCACCACCACCACCACCACCACTACACCATCACTACTTTTACTCTCTACGACAAAGGTAATTTTGAGTTTTCCTGATGTCTGTTCATGTGAATTCTTCTCTCTGCATCTGTATCTTGTCGTGTCCTTAGACGCCTCTCTCTTTCGTCTGTCTCTGGGTTTCTCTTCTTTTATATTTATATTTTACTCATCTAACTTCCCAGATCGGAATGTCTCGTTGTTTGAATCAATTTTCCATTTATCTCGTCCGTTGTTGTCGTTACTTAATATGTACATATATAACACTCGACATGTGCATCTGAAAAAAACGCTAGTGAAAAAGCAACTCTCTTGGCTGTCTCTCCTCTCTTTGCTCGCTCTCTTGTCGTCGTGTCCTGTGTTTACTAACGAAAATTGCTTTCAACGGCGCGTCCATTCAACGAAATCACCTTTCACGGTTTAAAAAAACTGTAGCGTATCTCCCACGTGCATATACACGCGTGCAGTTTCATTCATTCTGCGAATGCTGCACCGGTTTCACGCGCGAGTGCAATATCTTTTCATTGGTGTCAACAATGTTCCTTAATATACGAGAGCCCTTCATTCCATTTTGCTACGATTTCTGTTTGTATTGATGTTTTTATCACGTTGCATACACGTCGATCTCTCTTCGACCAAACTCGGTCTCAATTCTGCAGACTTTTCGAGCAATCGTGAAAATTGTAGAACAGAGCTGTAGAAAATTCGATACGAAATATATAAAGTATGATGATAAAGTTTCGAAATTATTTTATTTGAAAAAATTCGATAAAAAACCGAGAGAATAATTCTTTTGAAATTGTAAGTACTTACGTTATCGTTGAGACCACAGACCGAGACTTTACGACGATGCAAAATTTTTAAAATCAGGACTTTTTGATGTAAACCGTGTCGTAAATAAACACACATTCTGCTAGCATTGCAGCTAGCTTAATCAGGGGTCAAGTAACATGATGATAGTGACTAAAGTAATTATCTTCACGCACGCTGGATACATGTCAACATTCTTGCAACTTGGACACGTTATCCTCGAAACTTTATCGTCCTCTCACTTCCCTCCTCTCTCATTCCTCCAAACATTCCTTCACCGACTATTCCTATCTTCATATGGTTGACTGAAACCTTAAAAAAAAGAGAGAGAGAGAAAATCACGTAGCAATTATCTTCCATGGTATTCATAATGATACCAGAAAATACGTAAATATACGTAGAAAACGATGTAAAGAATCATTCTCGAACGAAAGATTTCCCGCATGGTCTTCACGACATCGAAGCGAATCAACGAAACGGCAACATAGTCACAAAAATTCCCGTGATATATTCGCCAACAGCCTTGACACTAAATCGTATTTCCATCCTACGAATTCGTGAATCAAGCTCGAACTTCGTGTAACGAAAGTGGAAAAGAAGCGATGTCACAATGGCAGACATCTTTTTCTCGCGTTTCATCCGAAAACCACTAGACGTGTGTCGCCATCTTTAATCGCGACGAGCTCGAGGAAAGTTACACTCATACACACACACACACACACACACACACACAGGCAGCCGGTTACTATTTCGATAGCCTTGTACCGACATGGCCGTCGTACCACTGAAATAGATCACCCTGAAGTTTTCACGCACTCTTCTGTCTCCGTTTTGTCGGTATGAGTGAATTTATCCGTCACACTACCGACCTTAGGACTAAATTAAAACAAACATCGGAAACGTGTTAGCGAAGATAACACACACGTGGCCAACTCTTACTATCCGGAATGTCATATGCTTCTATGATGCACGCGATATCTTGGCTGTGTCGCGCAAAATCATGATGCATTCGATTCGATATATGTGACGCAACATCGAGAAACAACATGAAGTGGGCTCGTCGAATTCTCCGTGCAACATCCCCGATTAATGTCGAAAATGCCTCGTCACGATATTACACTAACTATTGTATTGGTTGTCAATAACGTATATATGTGTGTCGATCAGCTTTGTTTGCGCTGTGATTAATATCTGCGTGTTAGAGCTTCTAACTAACACGATCTAATCAGAGATATGTGGTTTTAATTAGAATGATCATCTAGACAAAATTCGTACGTAATTAGCATCGGTTTATATACATAATGTAAAGCGTGGTAACGATCGAGTATAATTGTATAACGATTTTGAAGAACATCGATCGTAATTAGCGCGTCTTTTTTACGTAAATTACCACGTTTTGCTTCTCATGAGAGAGAATCGCGGATCGATTCCGTAAAAGAAGCCACCCAATAGAACTAGTATACTAGTAACTATCACATCGCGTGCCCTGTCGATGGCTTCTTCAATCACGCATCTAATGAAATGAAACTTATCCTCGAAGGGAGCGTGAAGCTGTGTTGGATGGAGAGCTCGTTCGTTGGCACGAGACCCGTGGATTCGCCGGAGACACCGATGAGTTTGGCCACGGAGACCGACTGCTGCCCGGGATGCAACGCGACCGCTACCGAGACGTGCAGCTGCGTCGATTCCGCGACATCCGGCCTCTTCTTGGATTTGACACCGACGCACGACGATGCCCAACAACACCAACAACAACAGCAAATAGGTGGCGGCGGTAGCCTATGCCCATCACCGTCCTCGTCACTCAATTATCACCACCATCATCATCATCATCACCGTCAGCTTCACCATCAACAACAATCTCAGCAGCAACAGCGCCATCACCGCGGTGAGTTGCTGCTCGCCTAGCGGAAAGCCAAAAAACAAAAGAGATCAGACAAGAAAACACGTAGTACAGTCGCGAACTTCTGCCAACAGAGTACGCCACGTTGCTCGGTCGCGTTTTCATCAAACCAAACGATTCCTCAACGGGCCCCTATCGATCTGCCTGCTTAAGCTGACGAATACGATTCACGTATCGAGCCTTGAATAAGACTCTTCGTTGTTCCATCTCGGATAAATAGATTATAGGTTGATGACGTTGCTTGTGATCTGTCGATCTGTTCTTTTCGACTTTTCACTTCGTTTTTTCGAGGGAAGTTTAACGAAGTTACGATATTACGTATCTAGTGGTTGGTAGGCTGGCTGACTACTTGACGACTATTAGATGGAATGCGCGTGATTTTTACCTCGTTCTTTCGAGCAAAGGTGGAAAGTTAAGAGATTTGTTGCAAGATGTTTTGAGGTTAGAGATCTGAGCAAATTGTTTGGAAAGTTATTTTAGAGAAGAGATACGATACGTACACAATTGTGATACGTAACGAAAATTTACAAAATTTTTGTCTTGATAATACGATGATACGAATTTCGTGAAATACATTCATAATTTTTTTTCAGATAATCATAATATATTCATTTCAAAAAAAAAAAAAAAGAAAGAAAGATTTAATACAAATATTATTATCATGCTTTCTTAAGAATAATTTTTTAGATTAAAGTTTCACATTTATTTACGACACTAGCAACATCATTGTCAAGAATAACTACTCTAAATAGCTTGCCAAACAGTTTCGAATCTTTCGTCTCCCATTCCAAGATATCTTGCATCAAGGAAAAAGCTACAAAACGAAAAAAAAAATCTCCTTTGCCTAGAAAATCCTCAAAGAAATTGATCGTTCAATTTTATTCGTTCTTCGATGTATCTTTCCAAATCATATAAAACATATCAAATATTACGCGTAATATATGTAATTTAATGTTAAAAATTTCTTTGACGTGTTTCCGTCCTCTTGTTGACGATTCTTCTCGCGGTTTTGTCTCTTGGTAGAAAGCATCGAACGATCTTCTTTTTAGAAGAGATTTCTTCGACGTATTTCTAACTTCTCGTGCTTATGCTTAGGCCACGTTGATTTTCGTGCAGTCACGTCATTTGTTCGGGCTGTTCTCCAATCCTCGACTATTCTGCTCGCTTCCGTCACGAGCATGATCTCAAGATGCGAATATATTTGAGAGCAAAAATCTGAAAAATTATTATTCTTCGCAATTAACACTTATTACTCTCGATTGTTCTCAAACATATTCACATCTTTGCGATTTCCTCTAGCATTTCTTCACGCTTCGAAGAATTTTTTTTCTTTTTTTTTTTTTTTTTTTGGAAAAACCAAAGTAGACGTACGTCAAAGAAGAAGTATCGATTTCGATCGCGAGACAAATTTATTTTTCTATATATTGTTGAACGTGGTGCATATTGTACGAACATAAATTGTTGAAATCGATGCAACGTGTGAAACTCGATCCGTATTACGGAGGCCATTTCGCTTCTTCTTCTTTTTGTACATAAATTATTTTTGAAATGACTTGTGATGGATGGCGCGAAAAATTTTTATTTTTCTACGAGCCAAGTTGTACAACGTTGGTGTAAAAATTATGTAAAGTATATCGATCGAACATTCGCACATACTTTATCGCGTTCTCTGTATACGCAGCTTTCGCACCGTTTTGTACTTTATTCACGGTCATACTATTTCTCTTCACACGAAAATTATTTTTTGAACGTCACTTCGAAAAATATTAATACGACGCGGAAAAAAAAAAGAAAGAAAGAAACGATATTAAAATTATGTTTGTTCGATTATTATTTTTCTTTTTACGCAAATATTGTTAGATTTAGCTATGTTTGAACTGTCGATCAAGGAATCGATTCAAAGTTGAGACGATATTGTTGTTGCTTGACGTTGATAAAAAGTAGATGTATGCGTATATAAATATATATATATATATTTTCTGAGAAAAGTTTTTTCGCGTTGTTATATTTGTAAGAGTAGCTTTTAGTCTCTTAATCACGTAAGTGCGATTGGTATCTGTAGCGCAAAAAAAGCACGTACTTCGATTTCTTTTTTTTTTTTTTTTCTTCCTTTCTCTCGAAACTCGAACAACGCTCAGTCTGTTTTCAATCGTGCACCATTATCTTACGAGAAAAACGTGACTTGAAAATTGTATAGCGTACGCGACAAAGGCAACGAGACAACTGTAATATATCATATATAAAAATAGACCGTTCAATATAAATAATATACGTATATAATATTTTAAACACGGTGCATCGCAGATTAAACTATTCAAGATTGGATCCAGAAGGAGCAGCGTTTCGCGCCGAATTATGCTAGATTTTCCTTTTTCTTTTATCTCTCTTTTTTTTTTTTTCTTTCCTTTCTTTTTTTGCAAGAAGAAATATCAAAGTCGAAAGCTACTTCATTTGGGTTTGATCTTGGTTTAATGTAAGAAATAGATAGCCTGTAATTTTGTATCGCTTATTATACAGCAATAATTAAACTCCCTTCGTTGGGGAAAAAAATAATTCACTCGCAGTGCTTTCATTGTCAGTGTAGGGTAGAGAAGACTCGCGGATTTAGCAAGGAGCAAATATTTTTCTCTTGTGTTACGCGTTGGATTCGATCGACTGTCTGCTGGTCCGTTTATTATTAACTCCCTGTTACTATTATTTAAAAAAACATCTCGGTGTCGAGATTAGAATTTTACGCCCACCATCGATTACTATTGATTTATCTTCTTCCTCTACCTTTTTTTTTTCCCCCCCCTTCTTTCTTTCTTTCTGTTTCATTTTCGTTTATCGTTTTCGTCAGCTTGCTGTACTCGTCGACGTCCAACTATAAGTTTTATTATTATACTGCTGCTCGAGGATCTGGATCAATTTCCGAAACATACGTAGAAAAACACCATGATGTAATTTCCGCGATGAAACATCAAGAGACACATATCACATCACGAAAGTAACACTTTGGAGATCGACACAACATTTTTTTTTTAAACACCATTTTCTTTCTTCCATACTTTCTTCGAAATTTTTTCGCGAGTGTCGACGATGAATTCAAAAGTTTTATCTAAAAAAAATCTTCTTTTCGAAAACGAACGTTTTAATTTTATTATACCATATGAAGATCGATTTTAACGGGAAAAATATTATTCGAATTTTATTACGGATTCCTCGTCGACGTCGCGCCTAATAAATATACATAATTTTCGTCATTCCACAAGGTGGTCTCTCGACACTGTTGTAAAGCCGTTGACCGACTCCTGGTTAACTTTTTTATAAGCCTCGTTCGTTTATACGCCAGGATTACTTTTCATTTTTTTTATATTCATCGTCGTGAGAAGTTTTATAGAATGAAACTTTGTTACTTTGTTACGACCGCCCCCTCGTCGTTGGAAGACCCCTTGAAGAAGGACCCTCCCTCCGTTTGATCCACGAGTATCAACCGTTCCTCTCTTTTTTTCTTTTACTTTTTTTTTTCCTCTCTCTTTCTCTTTGTCTTTATATATATTTTCTCTCTCTCTCTCTTCTTCTCTCTTACTCCTTTTGGTCTCTCCACAGACACAGATACACGCCACAACCCACCCTTGTACTCGTTGTATTAAACCTCTACCGTAATTTTTTTGTGCGAAACCTACCGTGTCTCGGATATATATATATATATATATATATATTAGTAAACTCTTTCTTCCATTACTTCTACTNTTGCGTTTCATGTATATGTTTACACTGTAAAGTTGTCCAAGTATACATGATATATCTATATAACTAGAGAGCTCAGTATATGACACGTATAGAAACTCATAGGTACATATGTATACATACGAGAGAAACAATTTTACGTACGATTCGTATACACCGTATCATTATTAATTGCAAACGCGTTGATATTATTATTATTATTATTATTATTAATTATTATTATTAATTATTATTATTATTATTGTCATTACTATTATTATTATTATTATTATTATTATTAATTATTAGTTATTATTATTATTATTATTATTATTATTATTATTATTATTATTATTATTATTATTATGATCATTATTATTATTATTATTATTATTATTATTATTATTATTATTATTATTATTATTATTATTATTGTTACTCCTTTAATTACGAGTGCAGTGTTCGCAGAACCGTCGGTCAGATTAAATATCAACAAATATATGTGTATTTATTTTCGATTGTTTTCTGCGCTCATCTCTTGTTTTTCTTCTTCCCCTGTTTTTTTTTTCTTTCTTTTTTTTTTTTAAAATCGTACTCTAGCTAAAAAGCTGCCGTTACTATAATCGATCGATCGATCGATCGATCGATGGATGGATCGGTCGGTCACTCGAAGAAGAGTCATTCGTTTTTACTTGTGACGCGCAGATTCGTACGTGTGTGTTCTCTTTCTGTTAAATATTATTACATTTACTCCCTTACCGGACGGTTCTGCGTGCCGGTGCTTTTTTGCCTTTTCTTAAAGTACACAATTCCGTACTTATTGTTCGGACACACCAACGATTTATCATTTCTTTGTAGAACGTAATTAAACCCTTGACAGCAATAATAAATTATTGTCATTTACCCTTTGTGTTATTTGCGTTGTTGTTGTTGTTGTTGTTGTTGTTGCATCCTTTATATTATAATCCTACGTTTCTCTCTTCGATTATATATATTATATATATTTTTATATCTCTATGTATATTTCTTCTTTAATCTCTCTCTCTTTCTCTCTCTCTTTTTCTTGGACACCTAAACTACCCTCTTTTTTCATTTTCTTTTTTTTTCTTCTTTATCTTTTCTTTTTAATTTGAAATTTCAAATTGACGAGAGACAATCTTCCGTCTCCTCTCTTATCGTATATTTATGTACTTCTATATAGTCGAGTATATATGTACCACGTATGTATACATACAGGGTAATAAAAAAAAAAAAAAAAAGAAGAATCTAAGAAATTTTAGAGAGATTTTAGATATAATAGAATTCACTATTTCCTATTATAAAGAATTCTATGATTTTTTTTTTTTTTTCTATTATCCATCTCGATTATATAAAAAAAAAAAAAAACAAAATCTTAGTTCCCCTTCCTCCGCCATGCCCCTCTTTTGCCACCCTGTATATCCGGGCATCGATTAATTTGATTGACGCGCTCTGCTTGTGTCGTCACGGTAAGTGCTGTTATTCGTTTCGCCGTCGTTGCTTTTGCCTTTCGTTCGTTTCGTTTCTTTCATTTTTCTTTTCTTTTCTTTTCTTTTCTTTTTCATTTGTCACGCATACACGTATTTTTATTCGCCTCAGCTTGTTGTGTTTGTTCTTGCATATAGCATTATTATATGGCCGAGAACGAATAGTGTCCGCGTGTACGTGCACATATACAGGCACGCACGCGTAAGCCTCTGATATATTTTCAGCCGGAAATAGAGCGTGTAACAATAAAACTGTTCCGCCGTCTCTTCCGGCGGAGAAATAAAAGTTTTCTGTGTGTGCGTGTGTACGTGCGGAGCGCTCACATGTAAACGTTGAAAAAGGTTCAACAAGAGAAGAACATCATTTTTTGGCTTCGTTTTCTGCCTTCTATACTTTCGCGAGCAAAAGTGCTCACAAACGCCGCAATTAGGCTAGTATGTATACGAGTATTTGATAGTTGTGTAGAAACGTGCAACGTAGAAATACACGTAGAAACGTAGAGAAGTAGATGAGAGGTGAAGAAAAATCGAGGGCGTCCGTTATATACCTCTCCTTCCCTTCTCTTCTCTTTCTTTCCTTTCGAGCCTCTTTTCTTTCATTTCTTCTCTCTCTTTTTTTTTTTTTTTTTCGTTGTCAATTAATCGTATTCTGTTCCTTCTCGCACACAATTAGAGTTGTCGGGAAAAAGTCTGACCAATGAACGAGTGGGAGAAAGCAGTAGTAGAAACTTGGAAATGGAAGTGAAAGAAATAATGGGTATTTTATTGTATTATTTTGATAAGATCTCTGCTTTATTTTTGATCGTACAATGCAAATAGGACACCCATTATTTCTCCCGTCCCCTTTTTTTAGTTTCTCTCATTCTTACATTGACCAGACTTTACCANTTGATCGTACAATGCAAATAGGACACCCATTATTTCTCCCCTTTTCTTAGTTTCTCTTATTCTTATATTGGCCAGACTTTACCAACGGCAGCTCTACGAACAACCGATTAAAAAAACGAAACCAAGTGTATATACGAGGAAGTTCGGGAGGTACCGCCATCTTGCAGGTTATTACGAAACTAATAGAGGAACGTCTCATCGAACGTTTCGTTCGATCGATTCTTATTTTTCTTTCGTCGATTTTTACGTCGAGAAAAATGTGTGCTCTCGAATCCAAGCACCAATTTAACACGTCTATTCGAAACTTTCACTGAGACGAGAGAAATGGGTGCTCGTTACGAGAAAAACACTTCAAATTAATGTTTTAAGAACATTTGTGCTGTGGCTTTTCTTCTATTCGATCGAGGTAAGAACATTCACGTAATATACGATTGCTGTCGAAATTGTTATAGATTTGCACGTGTTGGTTAAAAACCAACAATATTCGTCAAATCGAGATTTGATACGTACGAGGAATGAAACATAGCAGCGATTTCTTTGTAATTATACCAGGAAGAGGAGAAAATGACGCGTGAAAGAATCTTTCACAAATATCCTAATGAGAAACGCGTGACGAGCACCCTAGAACTTTGATGGTTGGTTAAGAGGTTCTTCGATCTTTCGCGTACATGCTTTTGGCAAAAAAACGCTTCAAGTGGCGATCGATGATCTTCACGATGCTCATTGTAATGTGATAAAAAATTTTCAGGTAATATAATACTATTGCTTACAAATATTTACTCGTCCTTCTACAATTTTTTTCTCGTCATGATACACTTATATAAAATAATTTTATTAGAAAATGTAAATGATTTACTATCACTCAAACAAAAAGTTTATCATATTCTTGAATGAAATTAAAGAATAAACAAATATTGAGAAATTTGTGACGTATCTATATCACAGATGATGCAACAGAGAAGATGATACAAGCGGACAGGAAGTGATTTCTTATGTAAATACAAATAAAAATCCAGAATCGAATTTTCTATCTTCGAACTGCTTAATTTACGGATCCATGGACTTCTACAATCAAGATACGGTTCGTTGAACAATTATAATGCACATATTGCGTTTATATATTTCTCCTAACCTACAAAAAAATATTATATTACAGCGTTGCTTCTCAAAGAAATTAATAATTATTACCATTCAAATATGTTACACTAAACATTTTAAAATGTCCAAACGTTAAGTCCTATGCAACGTTTCCATGTAAGTTCACTAAATATCCAATTTATCCAACTATATTAACTCTTGTCATCATCGATAGCCACTTGAAGCACCTCTATGGCATTACACCAAACAACGAAATAAATACGAAAAGTATGAAACGTGACGTGATAATTATTACAATTCGATTAAATTCGATTACAATTCGATTAAATTCGATTACAATTCGATTACAATTCGATTAAAATTACAATTCGACGACGACCAGACCTAACCTAATCTTGACTGGACAAATGTTAAAACGATAAAAGAGATTAAACTTGTAATACGACAAGACGGACGGACAATATATCGAGGCCAAGAGGATGACGCGGACGTCTCAGACTCTTTCTTGACCCCATGCATGAAACCGATTAGGATCGGGCCAGAGCGATACGGACGAGGCGATGGCGACGGCAGCTCTTCTGCGGAACAAACCGAGCCCGGGTTCCACGACCCTGGAGGACGTCCTTGACTCCCTCCTTGGCCTGCCATCCGCGTCGCGTACCCCGAGTCCTGGGCCAGGTCCCGTCGTAACCGGTACATCCACCACCATACGCCATCGAACTAACGTCGGCCAGGCTAATGCGAAAGCCGGGAAGAGCTGCAGCGACCTACGCCAAGACCTCCAAGGTAGGAGGACTATGTAAGTTTTCGTTCTGAAGCTCCTCTCTCGAGAGAGGACTCGAGAGAGGCTCAAAGAAATTTTAACCTAACATTTTTTTTCTTATATGAATATATGTATATGTATATGTATGTATACTTACGTGTGCGTATCCATGTTGTATACAAGCGCGGTATGGTTTCAGAGTAATCGTTAACGTGAAATTTCATGTTTTCTTTTTTTTTTTTTTTTTTTTCTTTTTCTTTTTCTTTCCTTCGCAGCAAAGAGGAAGTCACATTTCATTTTCACGGTTTATTTCCATTGGGGATTTTAGTTTGATATTAATTTTCTTGAAAGCTAAATTGTCAATGCATTATTCGGGATTTAATTGTGCATGGAATATTTATATCGCGAGGGAAATTAATAATTCATGGATTAAATGATTTTTCTTTTAAAAGTTCCTTGCAAGATTTTTTTCGTAAGAGATTATTTTAAATGATTAATATATTTCTCATTTATGAAGTTTTTTTTTTTCGAGAAAAATAAATAAAAAGAAAGAAGAAATTCTGAAATAAAATTTTGTTCTGTTGTCTTTCAGTTTTATCTCGTCGTGTTAATTAAAAAATATGAAATTTAACATGTTAACGGTTGAATTGTAAAACTACACTGTGCGTATGTCGTCCTCAATTTATGCGCTCCGCTTGCGTTTCTCTTCGCCTCGTCGCCATCACTCCTCACACACATCACCCTATCTCTCTCTTTTTCTCTCTTTGTATATATATATATATGTGTATCACAATAATATATACATATATATATATATATATATATATATTATTCCATAATCTTTCATTTTTCTCTCATTAGAAATGTAATATTGGCGTTTCATGCATATTTTTTATTAATCCACAACGGATAAAATTTATTTCGATTAAACAAAATTTTTCTTTTCATCATAGTTCAATTATCTTTAAATAAATATTTAAAATTTATTCGTATGTTTTGACGCAATATTTTTATGATTTTAATAATCAATGAAATATATCGATATCGTGGATAAGAAAAAAAAAATATATATAATTATTCTTAATAAGAATAATGCTTTGAAACGCCACTTTGAAACGAGATACGATGTACCAGGATAATTAATCATAATTGATCGATATTATTTCCCGTTGCATCGTTCTCTTTCTTTTTCTTTACCTCGAGATACCATACCTTGGTCTTATCGTCAACTACGATCGACGACGAAGGGAGAAAAACTGAAACAAAAAAAAAAAAAGAAAGAGTAGACGAACAAGAAAGAGAAGCAAGTCGTCGGGCAACGAGGAAAATGCGAAACGCGACATCTTTCTCCCGTTCATTTTTATTTTCCGTTGCACTTATGTTGTTTTACACCTTTGCAGAGAAAAAATGGCGTCTAAAGCTCAGGGAGGCGGAATTGTAATATCTCGCCTCCCCTGAATTCAGACGTCTCGATGCGAGGCTTATCGATCTGAGACGAATTTATCGGTGCTGAAAACTAGCCAATGTGGGACCCGGAGAGCTAATTACATTTATGACGACAACCACCAAAAATGCAGAAGACGCGAGTCTTTAAAATATATATGAAATTCGTAAGAGAGATCTTTTTCAAGATTTTTTGCTTTCGATTTGCTTTCCTTTACACATCTTTTCTTTTACTTCTTTTGTTTTTATTCTTTTTTCAATTATGTTAATGTTTTTAAATTCTAACCTTTCTTTTTTTTTTTTTTCCTTTTTCGTTCATTGCATTTACGAGAGAGCTTTTTTATTTTTCTTATTGTCAAGGCACTCGGGTGGATAATTAATTATTTTCTTTTTTTTTTTATAAACAAACAAGCATATAACATGAATTGACTTGCAACCATGCAAATTTACGACACGAACGCCTGATCGAATTGTCAAATCCTTGACACTTGTCTTCACTCTAACGATTCTAACACCTACAGTTATATAGAAGAAAGAGGTTATGGTAACCATGTTCATTTCATATACACATGACATCGCTTACAGTATTCACGTTCTCATTCTGCTTCGAATATATTATTCGATCGTACCGTTATCGTTTGTGGACGAAAGTATGAGAGAAATAATTCTTGATAAAAAAATAACGTGGAATATATTTGTAATTAATTAAAAAAAGCGTGCAAAGAATTCGCAAAGAACGATAATCTAGAAAAATTTTCAATTTTTCCTTTTGAGAGAGATGTAACAAGATTTTAATTTTCCTTTTCCTTTTAATTAATTCTAAAATTATATGATAATTAAAAATGTTCTTTTTCTTATCGCGAGGGAAATGAAAATTAATTTTCCCTTTTTTAAAAAACGTAGATTAATTTAATAAAATTAGCAATTCCGTAATTACTACTTTTCAAACCATCCTGATATATTCTTCCTTACTGCGGAAGCAATGGGAACAAATCTAACGGATATTTTTAAAATATTTAAAAGAAAAATTAATTGGCTCACACTTATATAGTTCCTCCCAAACGAGAAACCCGATACGATCTTTTTGTCCAAGCACAAAATTCGACTCCCCCCCACCCTCCCTGTTCTTAATTTTCTGACGATATCCAAACGATTGGTGAAATGTCGCAGAGTCCGCTAAGAGCGTGGTGGACGCGCAAGGAACTTCGGAGGAGCGTGCCTCGTATTACATGGACGAGGTTGTGCGGCGGAAAAGCGAAGGCAGCGACAGCACGCCGTTGAAAGCAGCGAGTGCGCAATCGAGAGGAGGCGGGCCCCCGTTCACGCATCGAAGAGTGTCGTTCGACAACAATCAAGAGGCGAACGGATTGGTCGGCTGCAACGCAGGAGAGAAGGTGATTCGTTGCCGGAACAACAAGTGCGGCAATACGGCAACACTGGCCGAGGCTAAGAAGACGTACAAAAGTTGTCACAACTGCACCTGCCTCTACTGTTCGAGAGAGTGCAGAAGGGCGCACTGGCAACGCCACAGGAGGACCTGTTTGCACTCCCGTGCCGGGAGCCTGTGCAAGCAGGTGTTGTCCTCGGCGAAGGAGGATCCCGTCACTCTTAAGCACATCTCTGCGTTGGCGAAACGTGGCCACGCGTTCCACGGCCGCGGCGCCGTCAAGTGTTTCTTCTCGAGCCCCGAGGCGGCTGAGAAATTCGTTGCGAACGGTTTCGTGGACCTGGGCGAGCCCACGTACGTCCGTTGGTCCGATCTGTTGGCGAGAGAGATGGGGGCGGAGTTGTACGCCGAGGTGATCAGACTTTGCAAATCGTACAACCCTGACACGAGGCTCGTGCTGTACGTGGCCGTTTGCGTGGTGAGCGAGGTGCCCACGAGCGGGGCCGTGAAGTGGGAACGGCAGTTGGTGTCCAGATGCGCCAAGATACACCTGGACACGGCCAACCGGCACCACACGTCCTCGTCGTCCGCCTCGCCGCAGGGTAGGCAACAGTCCACGTCCCCCACGTGCAACATCACCAGGGAGATGGAGTCGCCGGAAATGTTGGTGCTCACCTCGCTTCCGGGTAACAACGGGCAGAACACGCCGAAACGGATCAGGGAGATCAGCTTCAGCAACATCCAGAGGCAATTGAAATTGAGGGGCGTCTCGCTTAGGAGGCATTTCCCCCAAGTTTACAGGAAGCTCCGCGCCTACGTGGACGGCACCGTGGACAAATTCGCCCCGGTCACCATCTATCCGAGAGACCAGGCGTCCGGCAAGAGTTTCATGTGCATCATCATGCTCGGCGTAGAGCCTGAGCGGCTTCAGCTGCTTCCCACGGATTCGTCTAGGGTTAGGACCGTTGACATCAGCGTGGAGGAGGAATGAAGTAGAGGCTCTTAAAGTCTTTAATCGCTTAAACTCGGTTTTTTTTACTGAATTAGTAAAGAATAATCTAATCTGCAGGCTATGATAGGCGCAAAATGATGAGATTGCTGTTTTTTTCCTGGATGAGAAAGGAAGAAAGGAAGGTTGCGAAACTGTGAGCGAAACAGCTGAAGGAAGCTTTTTAGAATTTGATAGGGAAGTAAATGATGTAAGGAAAGAGAAGAGACCGGTTAGGGTGGTCTTTCAGAAGGAAATGATTGTCGAGGTGGTTGATCATGTCCCAATTCGACAGCTCGTGTGTGGAGCAACGAACAAAATACTATAGACAAATTAGACTGTACGTTGCCAAACACTAATCGCCTTGATTCGGTTCTCGATATAGATCTAATTGTGTATTTATAGTTTATGATAAAAATTTGTCAGGTACGCGTTAGAATCGTTGGAAATGTTAGTTTGCGTGTCGTTTCGACGTTTCAAGTGAACATCGTGATTTAAGTACAATGTTCGGAATGAATTATCGTCGATCGACAAGCATTAATTTTTATGGACATTTAACGACCGTGTTTTTCCTAATCTAACGTAACTGTATCGATTTTTATGTTCACGATTCTTGTTCGTGAATTTTTAGGTATCTCTCTCTCTCTCTCTCTCTCTCTAATTGCTTAAAAGATAGATTAAAAAAGAAATATAAAAAAATCTCCTCGATTCGGTTGTTACTCTTTCAAATGTTTATTAACTTAATATCGATCGTCGAACGAATCAATGAGCAAACTTTCATAGACGGTTCCTATCTTATCGGTATCAAATTATTGAGTCATTTTAGAAAATTCAAAATTTTTTTTCTTCGTCAAGATTCTACAAAAAAGTGTATGGAAAATTTAAATTGTATTTGCAGTTTATTATATGTCTGCAATCTTTTGATTTTTTTTTTCTTCTAAAATTTATATCAAGTAATTGCTGATTTGATTAAATAAAAGAAGAACTTGTTCAAACGCTCCACGTTCGACACGTCGTTTTTGAAATAATATGGAGAAATATCTTGTTGTCCTCCCTTTCGTTCGATTTAACGTAGTTATGGTTGTATTTTTTGAATTTTATCGTATATATTATATATAAAGATTAAATTTCTGCGATGCCCTCAGACTGTCTCGATCATATTTCGAAATGGAATTTTTTCGAACGTGTCATCTCGAGTCAGCCTGAACGTGTCGATAACAAAAAAAAAAAAAAAAAAAAGAAATATAGATTGTGAAGATTTTCCACAATTAAACAACTCCTCATGAAAATCTTTCCTAAAATCCAAAGTTTTAAAGTCTGTAAAACCTGTCTAGCGACTGGTGTCCCTGAAAGTAGAATTTCTACCGAGTAATCGTCTCGAGCTCAAATCTAATTATTATATCGTTTCCACAGACACGATCTTTGTGCCAAAAGCGTAGACCATAATAATCCCTGAAATTAAGAAAATAACTTGTGCGGACCGCGATGGCAATAGAAACGAACTTTTGCAGAAAAGAAGTATTCTAAGAATCTTGATCTAGTGGACTAACTTGGTGACAAAAAAATTCTTGGTTTAATAATATTTTTTATTTTCTTTCTTTCAATCAAATTGATAAATGAAATAATGAAATGAAAATGAAAATTAATTTTTATGAAAATTTTAGATGTATATGTTTATTTAAAATAATTAATGTACATTAGAAAAGTAAAAAAAAAAATATGTTTTGTCTTTATTATAATTTTCAATTATTCATTAAATGTTCAATTTTATTTTTATCAAATTTCTTCAATTTTTTTATATCAATGAGATTTATTTTGCAAATAAACTCAATAAATTTAAAAAAGTTAATAATCAGGGGAAATAATAATAATAATGACAGTGATAAAATAAAAATTCAGACATGTTTTGATTAAGAATAAAATTTAAATTCCATCAATAAAATTATCAATTTATATAAAAGATAAATTGTAAATTGTTCTATTGATGAGATACAATGAACATATGAATAACTAAATCAACAGGAAAATCTATTTTGCTCGCCATAATTTCAAACAAGAAAAAAATCTTAAAAATAATTTCTAGTGCCAATAATAGAATTTTTTGTAATATCTTTGCATAAAACATTTTTAAAGATATTTGATAAAGTTTCATAAATAATATTTTTGTAATTATATCATATCTTAATTAAAAATGTCATTTTGTATAATGTAAAGTTACATTTATTATATTTATATTTATCTATGTTAAAAACAAGAATGCATTTCATTCTTTAGATATATATATGTAATTCATAAATATTTCAAGAAATATATTTCAATCAAGTTGGAATAGAATATTTATATGAATGTTAAATATTATAATATTTGATCAGAAGTGAAATACCTAATTATCTCTTTAATAAGATAATATTATTTTTGTAAAAAACTGAAGTTAAAGAGTTTCATATAGCAATGTAAATTTTTTCAAAACTATTTTTCTCTTTAAAATAATCGATAATATTAATCTTTTTTTCAGTCATTTTGTATATTACAGTTAGTATATACAGTTATATTTTACTTATGATAAAATTAACAATTTAATTTCATTAATAAGTAGATACCATTATTTGGATAATATTGTTAATTGATATAATTTAACTATTATGATATTGTAACTAATTTAATAATCAATTGTATAAGTAAGCATACAACAATTGCAAAATATTTTATAAGTATTTAACTTTATAAAAAAAATGACGTCATTCAATTTGATTGAAAATATTAATAATTTTGATTGTGTGAAAATAAATAATATTTAAACAAAGTTACATTTCAGATATATTAAAATTATTCGACTCTTGTCTCATATATTTTCAAATATTTCTAATATCAGAAGAGACAACTAGGTATTCTACTTTTGATAAAATATCATAAATAGATATTTATTACATTATTAACTTGCATCATTCTAATTAAAATAATGTAGATGCTATATATTTATATAAAATAAAACTAGTTATTCATTTTAATATATAATCATACAATATTTAAATCAAATCAAAAGACAAACCTCATTAATAATAATAATTACAAGTAAAAATTTTCAACAAATATATAAAATTGAAGTATTTATTCACATTTTTATAAGATATAATGCTTTCTCAGATACTTGTATAAAGTATAATTCTGCAATAATAATTATTCATAGAAACATATGCTCATTCTGTACATGTAATAAATTTAATATGTATATTTATGGAATTACTAAATTAGGAACTATAATATATACATATATATTTATATATCTAATATAGTTTGAAAGATAGCAATAAAAATGAGTAATGTTTTTTTAATGTTATATAATTATCAGGTTTAAAAAGAAAGATAGGAAGAGAAAATTCGCTATTGTATGTTAAAATGTTTTTTGATGGAATAAATAGAAATTAAAATGAAATTAACTCAATAATTTTTTTGAAGAATGAAGAGAATAATGACTGAGGTATTACACTTCCTGATTTATAATTTATAATGTATCTCAATATTGAAATGTCAATTTTTACTTTATATATTTCAATGTAAAAGAAAATTAAATTTGAAGAATTTAAAAAGAATATTTTTTTTAAATAACAACAACTTGAATGATATAAATTTCTTAAAATATTTTTATATAAAAATAAATTTTGGTTGTGATTTTATTTTATATTCAAAATTTTATGATAATAAAAAGAGGAATTTTTATTTTTTAATTTGCAAAATCAAAAATGTTAAAGCTTATATGTTTATATAAGATTATAAACATAAAAGTAATACTGCCCTGAATACTTTTTTGGTATTCTTTTCATTATGCTAAGTTATTTTAAAATTAAAGTTCACTGATATTAACCAAATAAGACTGTACATGAATAATTCATACTAAATAATCTTATATGTTTTGGTTAGTGTCAAGAGATCGTAATATATGTACAATTATAATTGAAACAATTGATAAATTAATCGATTTAAAGTACAATGTGATGGCTAAAAATTTAAAAAAGCGTATTAGTAGTGTCATGAAAGTTAGTCCGCTAAATTTTCGATAGTTCCTTTTACCTGTCTATATTACGACATGTTGCGAATGCGATTATTTTAACTGTATACGTACTATATTTAAAAATTCATTATTTATCATGTATTGTAAAAAAATAATTTACTCATCGCGTTCTGTACGTGACAATTTTCTAATATAATGTAATAAAGAGATGGTTTGGTTTAAATGATAAAAAAGAAAAAAAAGATAATGATCGAATGATTATGATCAACAATTAAATTGTTCTTGTCTTTTTATGAAAAATCTAAAAAAATTTGAATCACAGATCGATATTCATATTTATATATAATCTTTCCAACCTAAATATATGTCGTAACGATTGACAGGGGCAATGTTCTTGTTCATCTGATTCTTTGCCTTTCATAAAGAAAAAGAGTAAGAAAGAAAAAAGAAAAAAATAAAATATAACGAATGCGAGAAAAAGTGCTTCAAACTATTTATCAAAAAGCTGTTGCAGCTAAATATATAATAATGTGGAGAAAGTTGATGAGATTTCTTTTTAACAGATTTCCTATACATTTTTCTTGCCGTTAACAGCAGACTACTTGATCGAACGAGCAATTAGCTCGTGTGTAGTATTTTGCTGAATTTAATGTTATCGTTTCAACGTTTGTCTATTTATCGGTGCTACCAATGTGCTATCATTGTTTTCGCGTTATCTGTATGTATGTCTCAATTTTTCAAATAAAATATTAATTTTATTATACCTGTCTGTCACTATGTTTCACGAGATTTTGTGATAATGACTGTTACATTTATATAACTGATAAAAAGAAAATACTTTGAAATATAGAGGATCAATAAAAATTACTTATTCGTATGGTGGAAACTTTTGAATATACCCGATCTATGATTAAAATATATTTAACAATGTAGATATTAGATATTTATTGTATTTATCCACAACGTATTATTACTTAAGTTATTACTAAAATACTTTACTGGTTTTATTAATTGCAAATTATATATTATAATTTCTAGATTAAATTTTTTATGCAAATTTTTATTACCACTTGTTTTTGGCACTAAATTTCTTATGTCATAATTAATCAATAAATTCGATTTTTAATTATATTATAACTGGTGTTGTATAAAAAATAAAGATTTAATTTAAAATTTATTTCGTTACTTGTCAAAAATTTCCTTTCATTGTATTAACTAATTGGTTAAATTACAATAAATTACAAGAATAAATTAAAGAATCAATTTAATATTTAATACATTTTTTGATTCATAAAAAAAAACTACAAAATTAGTAATAGTTGAAAACTAAATTTCAATATAAAATTATAATTGACAAATATAATAGGAAACAGAATAAATATTTTATACATATCTTGTGAACGTTTATGAAAGTATTTTATATATTATAAAGAGATATTATAAAGAGAAAATATAATATCTCTAAGAGTTTGCACAAAGATTAAGAAACACTTAGTTTTACAAAAAAAGTGATAAAATGTGTGTTGAATTGACATTCTATATTTGGCTTATTACGCGCGCAAATATAGAGGACAAAAAATAATGAGAGAAGGATAGAGATAGGATAAAAATATTGAAATCAACGCCATCTCCAGAGTGCTGCAAATGAAAGTTATAAAAAAGAACAGAAAATAGTAAAAGAAAGGTAATAGAGATAAGATAAGAATTGATCGTCAGCGCTATCACTCAAATGTCAAAAATATCTCTTCAAAGATAGGATAAAACAGAATAAGAATTACAGATTAATCCCATCTTTCGATTATTTTTATGATAAAAAGATATATCTTTAAAGAAATGTGATAACTCAAGAGATGGCGATGATTAATTCCATATATGTATGTGCAAAGAATCTATAATATAGTTTTATATATATTTTGTCTATAAATTTATCTCTCTATATTTTAAATATACTTCTTTATTTTTATATAACATATATGTTATATATCTTTTTATAATAGAATTACGTAAAATGATAAAAAAATAACAAATATAATTCTTGAAAATATGTTAGTTTGAAGAGATCGAGTAACTCAAACTTTATATTTAAAAAATATCATTTATTTTTCATAGTATTAAAAAATATTACGAATAAAATTTGAATGAGAAAATTGGAAATCGTATTCTAAAAATATATATTTTAAAATTAAAAATTAAAAATAAATTGAAATAAAATATAATTTTATCTGAAAATCTAG